GTCGCTTAACGTCTCTGTGGAATCAACACTGTGCAATGATTCCGCAAAGTCCCTATTCTCGTTCGACCAGGATACTCTTCGAACTGCAGCTTCATCATCATTCCTCCAGCATACTCGGTCCTTCTAGAAAACTTTCTGCGAGGTCATGGCATCGCACTGCTCCATTCGACTATCATCATCCTCCGAACTCTCAAAAACTTCGACAACTGGAATACTCTGCCTTCTCCGACGACTCCTCTCACTTCTCGGACAAACATCATCTTCCTGGGGAACATCACCATTTCCTTAACCAGGAAAATCTCCATCAAAACAAAACCCAAAATATTTCTGATCCTCAGAAATTAAACTCACCTCCTGAGTCAACTCCTCCAAACTCTCGAATTTTCTACCTCTCAGAAACATTCGAATATCAGGCTTTAACTGTGGTATCAGTAACTCGATCAGTTCTGATTCCTTCATATTCGGAGCAACCCTCTGAGCTAAAGCTGATTTCTCAGCAATGAAGCACTCAGGCGAACACCTCCCCTGATGTGATTGCTTGTATGATTTGGATATCAGACGTGCAATGACCGGTTCACTATCAAATTTCTGCAACAGCCTATTGCAAAAATTCTCCCACGTAATCCGCAAATTTCCAAACATCGACCGCAACCAACCGAGGGCCTTTCCCTTCAGTCGTTTCCTCGCAAATACAAAAAACTTCTCTCGACCAATACTCGAGTCTTTCGCAAACTTGACTCCACACTCTGAAATAAATTTTTCAGGGTCTTCCGAATCAGTGCCACTGAAATCGGGTAAAAACAACTTCGTCTTCTCACTTCCCAAAGCGCGAACGGCTTTAGTCAATTCCAATATCGAATCGACTAACCTGGAATCATATCCCACAGGATTTACAACATCATCATTCTCAAATGAGCGCCATTGACTTTGATCACCTAAAGTCAAAAACGGATTTCCGATCGAACCTTCCAACCTACTTGAGTGGGTTCGTCCACTCCACTGAGTGGATTGTTCTAACACACTCCCGCAAAAATCTAAAACCGACTCCAATGCTTGCTGGATACTAGGTAATCGCTGCATACTTGTAGAACTATCTCGTTGAACATCGGCAGGAACTTGAACACTTGCAGGAACATACAATTGTTGAACATCAGCTTGGGCTTCATGTAATCGAACACTAGCAACATCGGACCCACATTGCTGGATACCATGTACTCGAACTCTGGCCCCATGTAATCGACGAACTCTAGCCGGAACTTCTTGAACCTCAGCCCTATGTAATCGAACTGTAGCCCTATCCAGAACTGTAGCCGGAACTTCTGCTGGAACTGTAGCCGGAACTGTAGCTGAAACTGTAGCATCTACCGAAACTTGAACCTCTGCCGAATCTTGAACACTCGCCCCACGTTGGGCGCCATGTTATCGATGGTGCATTGTTGAATTGGCAGAATCCATATTCTATAAAAAGAATATCCCAATATCATAAATTAGCCCACGACTAACCCTACTCTCAGGGTTTGGATTCCTCTATACCAATCAACACCACGACCCTCTGAAAAAAAAAAGTAGGATTGGATTCGATCAAACAGCTCTCTATCAGTACTCACTTTCTATCAGTCTCTCTCTCTCTCTCATACAATATTCCCGATATATTATATTACCCAGTTTATTAGGTTTGAAGAGAAAATGACTGTACGCTATTATTAAGATGTCTGATTTTAGTTCCCTACAATAATTGGCTCGTACACTCTAACAGAACGGATGAAGCTGGGCGACAAGCCGAAGCTTTCGCTATCACTCACGGCTCAGAGCAGCTTATCAAAGAACCCACACGAATTCCCGATGCCAATAACCATTCAGCTTACATACTTGACTTATTCCTCACTAATAATTCAGCACCCTACACCATAGATGTACGAGCTTCACTTGGCAATTCTGACCACACACTCATCTCCACAACCTGCCCATTTTTCATTCCATCAACTGCTCCGGCACCCTCACATCTCATATGGCACTACAATTCAGGAGATTGGGACGGTCTCTGCATGTTTTTCTCCAAGTTTCCTTGGCATAGAGTATGCTTTGACTCTGAGGACCCTTCACAGTGTGCTGCGGAAATATCCGAGATCATCATGCTCGGAATGGACACATACATACCTCATTTTTCGAAAAGATCATCACCTTCGAAACCCTGGTTCAACAAAAACTGTTCTAGAACTGTTGCCTTGAAACAAACTGCCTTCCATCGCTGGCGCAAAAACCCTAACCTCGCGACTAGAGCAGAATACGTTGATGCCAGGAATAACTGCAGCCAAACAGTAGATGCTTCGAAAGAAACATACAATGACAAGATGAGATCGGAACTCATAGATTGCCCCAATGACTCCCGTTCGTTTTGGTCCCTTGCTAAAGCGGTCGGAAGAAATTTCACTAATATCTCATTTCCACCACTGTCGAAATCCGACGGCACATTAGCAATAACATCGCAGGAGAAAGCAAATATTTTTGCAGAGATGTTCGCAGCAAACTCTACTTTAGATTCCCAAGGAGAACTGCCGCCAGACATTCCACCCGTTGAGAGTCGAATGCCCGAAATTGTCTTCCGTCAACGCACTATCAGACGAATTTTGCTTGGTCTCAAAACGAATAAGGCTAACGGTCCTGATGGAATTCCACCCATTAACCTCAAAAATTGTGCACCAGAATTACCTCGGATTCTCTGCAAGTTGTTTACCATCTCGTACAGGTCGGGTATTTTTCCATCATGCTGGAAGACAGCAAGAGTCCAACCAATCCCTAAAAAAGGGGACAAGAACCTGCCCAACAACTACAGGCTCATTGCCCTGTTATCAGTAATCTCCAAAGTGATGGAGAAAGCCATCAATATTGAGCTTATCAAATATCTGGAGAGCTCAGGAATCATCAATGATAGACAATACGGATTTCGCCACCGAAGATCTACTGGACATCTACTTGCCTACGCCACCCATTCATGACAATCTTCAATAGAAAAACACGGGGAATCTCTAGCTGTCGCGTTGGACATATCAAAAGCATTCGACCGTGTTTGGCACGAAGGACTCCTCCACAAACTACCTTCATACGGCTTACCACCTCAGCTATACCATCTCTTATCGAGTTTTTTTTTTTTCAGGCAGATCGCCTCACGTGGTGGTGGACGGTGTATCGTCTGATACCATTGACATCAATTCCGGCGTTCCACAAGGATCAATTTTGGCACCAACATTATTCCTGCTTCATATCAATGATCTGTTGGGAGTAACAACTTGCCCCATCCACAGCTTTGCAGATGATAGTACCCTCCATACTGCGTTCTCTTCCAGAATTCCCATTCCTTTCCAGGAAACTAAGAACTCACGGCGCAGGCAGGTCCATGCTGTCAATGAAGATCTTGCTGAAATCACAGCCTGGGGAACAAACAACCTAGTTGAATTCAACGCCACCAAAACTCAAGCCTGCATTTTCTCTAGAAAGGCGGAACTCAGTGTGCCCGATATTGTTATGTCTGGCACCACCATCCTTACCAAGCCGACCATATTTATGCTTGGTATTTCCATCAGCAACACTCTTTTATGGGATAATCATGTCAGATCCATTGCAAAAGCTGCTTCACAAAAACTCGGATTCTTGTTTCGTGCGAAAAGCTACTTTACACCTCAACAGCTTCTCATGATCTACAAAGCGCAGATACGGCCTGTTCTAGAATACTGTTCCCACATATGGGGTTCAGCACCAAAACATACCCTGATGCTCTCAGATTCCATCCAGAGAAGCGCCATTCGCCTTGTGGGTGACGCCACACTCACTCACTCTCTGACATCATTGGAACACCGTAGAAAGGTCGGCGACCTTTCACTTTTCTATCGATACTTCCACGGGAAATGTTCTTCGGAAATCTCTGCTATCATCCCTTCACTAGCAATACCAATCAGACGAACCAGACAAGCCCAGTCAGCACATCCTTTCGTTGTCAACCTCGAAAGATGTCGAACAGCACTTTATAAAGACTCCTTCATCCATAGAACGGTTAGGCTCTGGAATTCATTGCCTGTGGAAGTATTCCCAACAACATATAATCTCCAAAAGTTCAAAAAAAAATTCCAATACCTACCTCCTGTCCCTATCCTCCCTAGGAACGCACGATGTTCTTTGAACATCATAGGGATTCCCTTTCGTGCGCTTCAAGCGATAAAAAAAATAAAAGCTAAAGAACTTCCGTCAAACCAATCAAGGACTCAACGTTGGCATTGCACCGGTCCAAGATTGTTCCCTATCGTCCTAGACCTAACTTGCCAGAAGGCCTACGACACACAAAGTCAGGGAAATCCTAATTCGCGTCGCGTCCAAGAGCCTCGCAAGAACTCAGTACTCGTTTAACGTCACTCCAGCCTGTGCAGTGTGTTCGCTCACCAAAGTAAACTACTAACGTAGGGTCATGAGCTGAGACGGCTTCCCAGAGATATTTATCCCGAAATACCAATGGAATGCAAAAAGAATCTCTACTAGAAGAATGCTTAGAATGCTAGCTTAGGGCAAAAAGTGCCAAGTTTTATACACAAAACTCGAAATCTCTTAGGCTCCGCCTCTCAAGAAAACGCTGTCTCCGGACGGCCATTGGCTAAAAGCCCAAAAGTCCGTTAAAGGAAGTATTGATTTTTCTACTCGAGGCGCCAGCAAGTCTGGCGTCTCTAATTGGCCACAATCTCGAAAAGCGAGTGAAAAATCTAAATGTTGAATATCTTGGCCATTTCTCGGCCGATTTGATGAGTAGTGGTGTCATTCGATAGGGAAATGATTTCTCTATCGAATAGTGCAGAAATCAAGAAAAAATATTGAATTGCAAGTAGCCGGATCGACGACAATGGAAATTCCATGTGGAATATCAGTAGGGTGATGTTAGTGGTGCTGTGCAGTGCTCCCAAATAGAACCTCCAACTGATGAGGTAATTTTTTTTGTATCAATGATAGTTCGAAGATATATGTTCGCGGAACAAAGAAGGGATAGTGGTGACCGGGTTTTGGAAATTGAATCGTTTGCGATGGTATGCTCGAAGGCGGCAGTTCTGAAAAATAGGGTATACCAATATCTAAGGAACATTGAAGATCACAAGACATATTGAAAAATTTTCGTTTCTCGTAATACAGTCTTCGGACTTTCTCCATGTGTTAGGCCGTTGTGAAAGTCGGCAGGGGTGTTAGGGTATTTTTCGATTCAGATTTTCGATATTTTGTGCCGTTCTCGAGATATTTGGGAAAATATGAATATCGGGACATAGAAAAATTTCATCAAAATAATACGTTTCCAATTTTTTGTGATGATGCAATTTTGAGTAACAATGTATAGGGACTTTTTCGTTAGTCGTCTTGTTTTCTATCGAATTTCGTGCGAAAAACATACACTTGTCCCTCATTTTTTTTTTTCAATGAACTAAGAATTATTTCGCGTCATGACGTCACACTGAATTTTTTTGTTTTTCGTGATACAGTCTTCGGATTTTTTCCATGTGGTAGGCCGTTGTGAAAGTCGACAGGGGTGTTGGGGTATTTTCCGATTGAGATTCTCGATATTTTGTGCCGTTCTCGAGATATTTGAGGAAATATGAATATCGGGACTTTAAAAAATTTCATCAAAATAATACGATTCCAGTTTTTTTTAAAGTGATGATGCAATTTTGAGTAACAATGTATAGGGACTGTTTTGTTGGTCGTCTTGTTTTCTATCGAATTTCGTGCGAAAAACATACACTTGTTTTTTTTTTCAATGAACTAAGCCTAAGACGGCCAGTGTTGTTAGGGTATTTTTGGATCTAGATTCTCGATTTTTTGTAGCGTTCTTGAGATATTTGCAAGAATATCAATATCGGGACAACAATATTTATGAAAATAATGAAATTTTAAATATTTTGGTAATGAGGCGATTTCGATTCATTTCGGACATTGTACGAAAATCATACACTTGTGAATCATTTTTATATTCAATGAACTGAATTATTTCGCGTCCTATCATAATAATGTTTTTTGTATTGAATATACATTTTTTGTGGTAACTAGTGGTGTTAGGGGTGATCATTTGTCAAGACAATCAAATTTGAAATTGATGTAATTCCGAACTGCATGTGTAAAGAGTGGTATTTGTAAACGAAATCGTGAATAAATGTGGATATTTTGGAAATAATGGTATTCTTCGGATTCTGAGGAAGTGTTGAGCAATGAATGAATTGGTAACTCTAGCTGGTATAATACATCATGGTATTTCAGGTAGTGAGATGTACATGGATCATTCTCAGGAATATATTGTACGACAGTATAACGAAACGGTCGACTTTTCCCGCACGAAAACACGTCAGGTACCCTTGTGAGGGGAGTGTACCGGCTTTGGTGACAATAATCCCTCTCTGCAAAGGAGGCCAGGTAAGAATAGTGTTGTTCGTTCGTTTCTTATAACGTTCAGGGTAAAATGTTGCCTGAAGGCTATCAAAGAGCCGTATTTCCTTTGAGAAATCTACCTCAAGTGTATGTAATGCACCTCTGAATTCCATGGGTTCTATATACAGGTATGAATTACTGCTTCATTATGCAATTGCGCTTTCTTATTTCTCTGTGGTTAAATGAAGATATCTATACTTTGTTGGTGTGAAGTCATTCGGTGTGTAACACAGACACATTTCGATTTTGAGAGGGCCTTCCACATCATTTCATGAAATTAACTGATAATCTCAGCTGGTATAGGACATCATGGTATTTCAGGTAGTGAGATGTGCATTAGAATATCAGAATGAAGCAATAACATATACGGTCCCACCATTTATCATGATCTCATTCTATTGCAGCCGCCCCTATTGACCAGTCATGTCTTCAGAGCTCATCCGATTTATCGAGTGCCAATAGATACGAAAAATGAGGTTAGGTTCACCTTTCTGTCTCAGCTAGGAGGTTGAATACAAGGCGAATATTTCTGCTTTTATCATTCGATTCTCTACCAGCGATATCGCTTTTCCTTACATCCTACCCACACTTGCTTCTATCTTTCATATATAAAGAGTTGGATCTGTTACATGAATACGTTAATTTGAGGTTGAGCTTCAATAATTAGTGACAGCATTGCTAACCAAATTGTATTGTTATCACAGAGAATTATGTCACTGTTTGCTGAGCTGGTTAAGCGCATAGCTACTCTTCTCGGCTTCCAAACTCATTCATATGATGATAATCGAGTTAAAGCAGGTCTTCGCGAATGTGATAAGGCTGTAAGGCGTTTGAATAATGCTTTGAGGAAATCCGAAAATTTTGGGGAGAGGAGGACACTTGGAAGCTTGCCTGAGGAATCTGAAATCGTTCCGAAACCAGTTGAAAATACTTCAGAAAACGGGATCTGGACTTATATCAAGAAAGAAAACTGCACGGGATAGAGTTCGCTGGACAGATTGTCTGTCTGCTTTCAATAGCAGGATTCGGACTGGAGTAATCTCAAACTTAAAGCATAAGGATCCTGCAGCCTATTTGACTGATTGCCTAGCTCTATTCAGCATACGTATTCAGAACGCTCACAGGAAAGATATTGCAGTCAAGGTCAATTCAGTTTTCTGCGGAGAGTTTGAAATTGTGAAGGGAGATTGTGTGCTTAGGGAGTACAAGTACTTTACTACTTCGAACTCTCCTATCTACAAGGATACCGATTTGAATGTGTGGTTCAACGATAAAATCCTAGGACCCATTTTTGTCGAGTAAGAGGAATTCCAGGAGAGAGATTCAGGCTGGGCGCTAAAGAACATTATTAATCTAGGGGCGAACATCATCGAGTTTACTCCTCAACTTGGATCATCCTACATTGAATTACCCACTCAGATGAAGCGGAACAAGCTTGTATCAACGTCAAAAACGAAGATGAATTATGTTCTGCTTGGGCGGTAACATCTGCTTTGTATCCTGCTGATTGGAAAAATAGTGATCGAACATTCTCGTATCCTCATCCGTCTACTGTCTTGAACCTCAAGGACATTCAGTTTCCCATGACAGTCAAGCAGATTCCTTGCTTTGAAGAACAATATGACGTATCAATTAATCTCTATATCCTACAGCAGAAATCCAAAAACTTTCAGACTCTTCCCACATACTTGACGAAGGAAAAAAATGACAGACATATCAATCTTCTACTCATCCAGGATCAATACTTCAATGAAAAAGATGCTTGCGAAAAGTTTTCATCCCCTATCAAGTTCCACTATTGTTGGATGAGGGATCTATCCAGACTGCTATCTTCTCAGCTGAGCGATCATAATAAACACCTTTTTCCCCCCGAAGGGTAAAAAACGGATATTTTAGGTCTTGCCTAGGCTTGACCCTAAGTGAGATTACAACTTTGCTTACCTGTTCGTCCGACCGTCCGTCATCTCTCTAGACCGCTTCAAATGTGAAACAACCTTTAAATAGTTCACGTCGCAGTGCCGCGCGCCTGTGCAGACCATCCTTTAGGTCTCCCGTGTAGACGCGAGGCGCGGTGGTATTACTTCAGTGACTTCCCAATAATTCGTCGTTGAGAACTTGAATGAGTCAAGCCTAGGCAAGACCTAAAATATCCGTTTTTCACCCTTCGGGGGAAAAACGTGTTTATTTTAGGGTCTGTGCCGTCGGCTTGACCCTAAGTGAGAAGTGTTTGTTTCTGACGACGTGAAAAGCGTACTGTGAATGAAATAGGAGCCACAGGAATGCAATTCTCAAAATTTGTTTACTCATCATCAAAGGAAAAACTGAAACAACTGCCTCTATCCAGTAATAACGATAACATTTAAAATCGAACAACAAAACTCATTCTGAACAAAAACTCCTCAATACATCGTTCCAATGCTAACGAAAATATTGATAATATAACTATAACTGATTACTAATTGGCTAAACAGGTACAAAGGAAATTTGAGTCAACCTATCAGCACTATTAGAACGACGAGGTCTATCGATTTCTTTAAAATAATACTTGAAAACTTTTTTGCTTCCCTTCCAGTTGCCGGCCTTCAAAATGGTATCTAGGGAAACCTCATTATGGTATCTTGACGAAGCAACAGCTGATCTTATACTCCCAGGGGATGAAACTATACCCGCTGAGATAAAAGCCGTTCTTACCCAGCCGGCAATGACCGACCTAGAGGCTGGTTTAGCTCTACCCCTAGTCGTAATAAAAAGTTCTGAGAGTGCTGGACAACTATCTCTCCTGCCAGATCCTAGAGCGATGAGATGTTCAATCCAAGAAACCGGATCCAAAGAACCATCGTCATTCCTCAACAGTTTCCATCCAGATTGCCGATGAGAATTCGAGTCGGTCTTGGACCCAAAAAGTGGCCAAAATATAATCGAAGAAGACTCGTCACATTCCATATGGACATTATCTATCCTAAGGAGAGTCAGATCGTGAATTCTTCTACCAGAGGCCAATAATAGTAGTAAGGCGACTCGTCGGGAAACTTGGAAAAAACTGTTTCTGTCAATGTCCTCATTTTTCAACCATTCCATGAGATCAAAAACATTCCAAACAAGAGTTTTTGTCGGAGGAGGGTTAGCATAGTCAATGGCCCGTAGCATATGTTTTATCAGAGGATGACCGGAAATGAGCTCGGATTTCAAAGGGTCAGAAAGGGTGGCTATGACCGATTTGTGAAGTTTGATTGTGGCTGGAGCCATTTTCTTTATCTGATGAAGAAACCCAAGGTACTGAGCTACCTGTGCTGGATCTGGATTCTTAGGAGCTATGCCATTATCTCTTGTGTAATTGAGCCAACCTTTCCATGGTGCCCTGTAAGTATTCAGGGAGGATTTTCGCCATGATTTCTCCAAAAGTTCCCTGTCCTCTAATTGCCAACCCTGGAGATATTGAGACCACCCCGTATTTTCCAAACCTCCAAAAATAGCTTGCTGGTCTGTGGAAGTGGTACTGAGGTTGTTGCATCGATCAAATTCTCCTTCAGGTTCTGAACCCGTAACGGGGCCGCCAGTGCTCTCCTCCGTAGGTCTGCTCTCCAGAATACTTGTTCCCATCTGGGGACTACTAGGAGAAATGTGCCCCTCGCGTCGTTGAGGTGTCGTAGAACTCTCGGAATCAGAGCTGGTGGGGAAAATATCCAAGCCGGCTCGTACACCCATCTTCTGCTGAAAGCGTTGATGAAGACTGCTTGTAGGTCTCTCGAATCTCTGGTCACATATTTGGATACTACTCTGGACTTGATTGTCGCAAACAGATCTATCTCTGGTTTTCCCCACTTTTGAAATATCTGTCGTGTGGCAGCCTCGGACAAATGCCAGTCCGCCATTGGTTTGTTTCGAGAGAGTCCGTCTGCAACATCGTTGTACTGCCCCGGTATATATTCGGCTAACAGCGTGATTTCCATACTGTGAGCCAAGGTGAAGGGCTGAAAGGTTGGATCCAACAAGATTTGTGATCTGGTTCTCCCTTCGTTTCTTATATAAGCGACTACCGTCCTGTTGTCCGACTGGATGAGAACCGTCTTTCCTTTCAGACTCAGAGAGAACTTCTGCACCGTTGCTAGAACAGCGTACATTTCTTTTCTGTTTATGTGCCAGAGTCTCTGGTTGGCAGACCAGGCTTCGCTGACAGATTTGTTCCCGACCTGTGCTCCCCATCCCGTATTTGAGGCATCCGTTGTTATAAAAATCTCTGGATTCTTTGGAAATAACGGTCCTAATGTCCGCAAATTCTTCAGCCACCAGCGACACTCCCTGAGCACGATCAGAGGTACTGGATATTTCCTCCTTGGAAGTGATTCCGGTAGAGCCAAACTTGCTCTTTGAATATATCTCGAATGGAGACGGTCCAAGGGGATGATGAAGCTTGCAAAATTTAGCTTTCCTAAAAGTTTCCTCGATATCGTCCAGCTCCATTGACGAGTTTTGAGGACTGAATTCAGATATTTTGTTAGAGAATCTATTTTCCTCATCGGGAGAGCTTTTGTACTGTTTCCAGTATTCCAGACTATTCCTAGGAATTCTAAACTTCTTTGGGGCACTTTCAGTGATTTCTCTGCATTTATGAGCCATCCCAGACGATTCAACGTTTTCAAAATTGAGGTGTGATGGTCTTACACTGTCTTGAAGTCTTGGTTTGCAAGAAGAAAATCGTCCAAGTAAACTACGACTCTTATGCCCTGATCTCGAAACATGCTTGCTAGCCAATTTGTTACCCCGGCAAATGCCAGTGGGGCACTGGAAAGAACGAAGGGAAGGCATGTCATCTGGAAAACTTTTCCGTTGTGTACCATGGACAGAAACCTCCTGTGTGATGGTTTGATTGGGATATGACAGTAAGCGTGTGCCAGATCTATCTTCATCAAGAAATCGTTCTCCTGCAGAAACCTTGGAATCCATTGATGATGCATCAAGCGGAACTTTTTCGGGCACAAATATTCGTTTAATCTCTTCAGGTTAAAGATAGGACGAACCGATCCGTCTGACTTCAATACTGGAAACATTTTTGATAGGAACCCGGAGTCCACCTGTGTCGGTTCTAATATTGCTTGAGATAGCATGGAATATACTGCCCTGTCCATCTCGAAGGTCGTGAAATGAGCTATGTTTCTCCCAAAAAAAAAGACAAGTGGTGGTTTTTTTACACACGGGATGGCATAACCTGTTATTGTATTTATATTGCTTCTTGGAGCTTTCAAATTCTGCCATTCCGCTACGAAGCTGGATAGTCTTCCCCCCCGAAAAACCTGCTCGAGGCAGTCATGGTTTCTTATTGCGACAGTTTGAGGAACTCTGTTGTCCTTGATTTGGTCTGTAACCCTTGGATCTAGGAAGAAATCCGGATTTTGAATTCTTAGCTGATGCGGTTTTGTAAGAAGAGCTGACTGTCGAGTGTTTCTGACCTGACTTTGGTCTGAACACTTGCCTAACTTGCTGAAGGGTGCGGTTTTCCCTGAGAGGATAGAAAATTCGAAAGGAACTCGAATGTTGCCTATAGAAGTCAGAAAATTGCGTTTCCTCGAAGAGGTGGGTTGCTGATGGCGGGATTTTTTCCAGGGTGCTTGCTACGTGATTATTCTGGGGTCTCAGGATTCTTCTACGCTGTTTGATAGCTTCAGCCCTAAGTCCACAGGTCAGTTGTAACAAGTCATCCGAGACATTCCTGAATTTGGAATTATTGCCCCATAATTCCTCACCAATATCTGCTGTTAGCTGCGGATGCTTAACAGCTAAACTCTTCATAGCGATGGAAAATGCTTCTCTTTGAAGTAGAAGGCCATGACATATGGCGCCCAGATTTCCGTCTATTTTTGAGAGGTGATCCATAGACTGACGAGACGAACTGCTCAAGGAAAGTTGAGAATTTACACGAAGTGCGCTAAAAACAGGAGAAGCCCTGAACTTCTTCTGAACGTCGGCATATCTTATCTTATTATGAGAGGGCTTGCCTAATCTCTGACATTCAATACCCTGACGTTCGATTTGAGGAAGAGCTGCAGGGACGGCCGGCTCTTGCTCTCGAGTTTTTGGTTCAAAGTCCATAATAGATGCTTCTTCCTCAAAATCAGCGCAGATGGGAGGTTCCCATGCCTCTGATTCTTCTGCATCCGACATCGCCTGAGGCAACTCAACATCCTCATCTGAAACGTCGAGAGTACCATCTGGATCAGCGGAGGGTCCCTTAGTCTGAAAGCGCTGAACCAGGTTCACTAAAGTGGCTTTCAGTTCCTCCTGATTTCTCTCCAACCTGTCCAAACAAGAAACTTTCATCTTCTTTGGTGGTGACGCTGCTGTCAAAGATTCCTCCCCGGCGCTATCTGAAGTTACCTCGCTGTTGTGCCACTTTGCTAACTGAAGATGAGCCTCCTTCCTGGAAATCAACAGAGGCTTGAGATGGTTCAAGGCTGCTACGACCAAATCATTCTGTTCAGCTGACGCTCTTATACGCGCGGCCAGTGCTGAAGGAGCAATAATAACACCGACGCAAAATGGCCAAGAGAGCATTTTTATCTTGTAGTCCCTATAGACTCGCCCTGGCAAACTGGTAGCCTCATTGTTAAATGCTCGAACTATTCCCAAAGTTGGTAAGGCAAATCGAATTTTATTCAGGAGCTGCGGGTCCACCCTGTCGCCAAATGGGTCCTCCTTATTGAACGTTGAAATCTTCCATCTTTTCCAACCATCCGGTAAGGATTCGACCGCTAGTGACTTCAGATTGTCGAAAATGTGCTGCTCCTCCTCATCCTTGGCCGGCATCTCGTATAGCTTGAGAAGGGACTTGAAGCTAGCCTCGTCATCATGTGACATCTGAAACCAAGAGGACGATACTGAGATCAAACAGAAGTGATAACTGAATGCTTGATCAAATTGAGCTCTGTGGCTATTGAAAGCTAGAACGAGCAGAACGACTGCGGAACGAGCCGTAGAGCTGCTGGAAACGAGCTGTACGGCTGCTGGAAACGAGCCGTACGGCTGTTGAAAACGAGCCGCACGGCTGCTGGAAACGAGCCGTATGACTGCTGGAAACGAGCCTTACGGCTGCTGGAAACGAGCCGTACGGCTGCTGGAAACGAGCCGTACGGCTGCTGGAAACGAGCCGTACGGTTGCTGGAAACGAGCCGTACGGCTGCTGGAAACGAGCCGTACGGCTGCGGGAAACGATCCGTTGAGGCTCCTCGAAACGAGCCGTACGGCTGCGGGAAACGAGCCGTTGAGGCTCCTCGAAACGAGCCGTACGGCTGCGGGAAACGAGCCGTGAAGGCTCCCCAAAACGAGCGGTACAACTCCACGAAAAGAGGCATCTAGGCTGTTGTGTGACCTTATTCCTCGGCTGCTGTGAGCGAAATGTATGCAGGAAGATATTCTATATTAGTATGTTAGACATGACATAAAAATACCATAGGTCACACCCAAAACATGCCTGCCTACCTACGTGAACCTGTAATACAGAAATACTAGTATAACAATGAAGTTACTCACAATAGACATCACAGCACCACTGATTTATCGCACACACACACTTTAAAATAATGTTGAACGCAGCTACGGCGTTTGTGTTGCTTTCCGAGAGAGAGGACGACCGTACTCTAAGGAAAGAAGAAGCGTACTGAAGTAATACCACCGCGCCTCGCGTCTACACGGGAGACCTAAAGGATGGTCTGCACAGGCGCGCGGCACTGCGACGTGAACTATTTAAAGGTTGTTTCACATTTGAAGCGGTCTAGAGATATGACGGACGATCGGACAAACAGGTAAGCAAAGTTGTAATCTCACTTAGGGTCAAGCCGACGGCACAGACCCTAAAATAGACGTAAATTCTTTCGCGACCGCTGTCTCCATTACTTCCGCACCGCCGAAAAACTCTATAAACATGTCGAGAATTGCGTAAGAATGAATGATACTGCAATCAGAATGCCGGAGGAGAGCAAGAATATTCTGAAATTCAAGAACCATAAGAACAAAGAGAAAGCTCTATTCATGGTATATGCTGATTTGGAGTATGTTTTGATGAAAACTGATGATTCTAAGAAGCCTCAGCTCCACGTTTCAGCTGTCGTAGGATAATTTATGAAATGTTCACATGACGATTCTCTTTCCTTTTATCGCTCATACCGAGGACAGGACTGTATGGCGTGGTTCGCTGATGAGCTCAACCAGTTGGCTGAGGATATGTCTACGGTGTTTTTATGTCCATACAACATCGACATGACCGCTGAGCAGGAAGTTGAGTTTCAAAGAGCTAAAAGTTGCCACATTTGTGAACAACTTTTTGGACCTGATTATAAGAAAGTTCGCGACCATACGCATCTCATTCCGGAAAAAAATTATAGAGGTCCAGCGCATGAAAGCTGTAATATTCGGTGCCAGGACAGCCATGTGGTGCCTGTTGTGTTCCACAATCTGAGTGGATATAATGCAAATCTCATCATTGAGGATATAGCATCTATAATGCAGGGTCGGTTTGATTTGTTGCCAATCACCGAAGAAAAATTCACGAATAGGCTTCCGCTTCATCGATAACTTTCGATTTATGAATTCTTCTCTGGATATGTTGGCATTATATTTAACCGAATTTCCGTACTTGATGTCTCAATTCTCTAACATCACCGAAGATCAGCTCCAGCTCCTAACTAAGCAAGGTGTGATGCCGTATGACTATACCGACTCGTTTCAACGCTTCAATGAGTCGCAGCTTCCACCAATTGATGCTTTCTTCAACAAACTGAACGAAAAATCCTGTCCACGCAGACAATATCTGAAGCCAATCTTGTGTTGAATGAGTTCAATTGTCAAGACTTGGGACAATATGTGGACATCTAAATGAAGACTGACATCATGTTGTTGACCGATGTTTTCGAAAAATTCCGAACCAGCTGCCTCAGAACTTACAATCTTGAACCTGCACACTATTACACCCTACCAGGATCCACTTGGGATGCTATGCTGTATAAAACCGGCCAAGAACTAGAGCTGTTTACGGATATGGATATGTTTCTGTTTGTTGAACGAGGAATCCGTGGAGGTCTCAGCCAAATTTGTTCGAAACGAAGAGCTAGGGCAAACAACATGTTCATGCCTTCATATGATTCATCAAAGCCTGACTCATATTCAATGTACTTTGACGTTAACAACCAGTACGGTTGGGCTATGTCTCAGGCATTGCCATATGGAGGATTTGAATGGGCCGACACTAATCTTGATATTACAACCGTTGCTGATGATGCTTCAGGAGGATACTTTTTAGAAGTTGACTCAGAATACCCACGACGCCTTCATGATTCCCACAAAGACCTAACTTTCTGCTCAGAACACATCAATCCAAAAACTATGAAACCTCCGACGAGACCTTCTCAACCCACCAAGCTGATGGCAACGCTGAATAATAAGAAGAAGTACATCATCCACTACCGAGCCCTCAAACAAGCGCTGGAGCATGGGTTGGTCCTGACCAAAATTCATCGTGTGCTCAAATTTCAGAAATCTACATGGCTCAAATCATATATTGATCTGAATACGAGTTTGAGAAAGGCTGCTAAAAATGAATTCGAGAAACATTTATTCCAGTTGATGAATAACGCTGTCTTTGAGAAGACTATGGAAAACATCCGAAAAAGAATTGAAGTTAAGCATGAAAATCCGTATGAAGCGAGATTGCCACACCCACTTCGATACGTCTGACTATCCTGAAGATAATATTCATGGAATTCCTCAGGTGAACATGAAGGTTCCTGGTTCTGGGAATGATGGAAGATGAGAATTGTTCTGTCATAATGATGGAATATGTAGGTCTACGATCAAAATTATACTCTACAAAGGTGCTGGTAACTGATTATGATTTCGAGAAGAAGAGGACAAAGTTACGGGAGGAAGATTATGATGAGGACGAGACTAATAATATCATGACGGATATGGGTGTTGCAAATAGAGCGAAAGGCGTGAAATCGTCTGTTGTTAAAACAGCTATCACTTTCGAGGATTACGTCGACGTCGGGACACACACGAGCATAAGAAGGTTTCTCAAATTTTGATGAGAGCGAAAAAGCACCACGTTCATTCCATAATTCAAGAGAAAATCGCTCCCAGTTCAGAAGATGACAAGATGTATATTGTTCCAGGATCCTGCGAAACTCTTCCATGGGGGCACTATAGTATAATGGAGACTTGGAACGTCAACTGCTAAGTATAGTTTATATTATATGTTTATATGTGCTTTACCTTTCATTTAATACCAATATATTCTCAGAAATTGTATTGAGTTCAATTTCTACATCCTGTGTCAGCTGTAATAAATAGTTCGGATAATAATTGAGTGAATAACAATTTTTATTGATGGGCGTTTTGACTGCTGGTTGCAGGTATAGTTCTAACGTTCAATGCTGTCTGACTTCACATTCTGCGATTTTTTGGGGCTGATCACATGGTCTAGATGGCCTCAAAATGGTATGATTCGATTTGAACTCATGGGTTGGTTTCAGAATTTTTTCTCCAGACTGTATGATGAAGATTTTTGGACTCATCCTGTTTTCATTTGACTCGACGACCATTTTCGCTATATCTGACCTTATCTCTTCTTATGGAGATTAACATAGGAAAAGTGGTCGAAAGGAGGCCGTGCTCTCCTAGCCTATTTACTAAACGAATATTCTTTTCAAACAGTCCTGCAATCTTAGTGATATTACTGATAATCTGAATTCTGAAAGTCCGATAGTTGAAGAAACCACTATCTAATGATATCATTGCAGCAGAAAAAAGTATAATCGACTTTGATATTCTCAATGAGCACATAGTGACAGTATGGCATCTGCTTCGATCTCTAAGCCCAAGAGAATGATCAATCGTCCACAGTACTTGTAAGATTATATAATTAAAAAAAAAGAACGTGTTATGATTTATATATATATATTCATAGTTGCCTCTGAGAAATGTAATGTTTCATCTAGGTGATCATGATCATGTTATTCTGACATATATATTATCATACTGAACATCATTCGAATATTGAAGCATCAATAAAACTATAAAAATAAGTACATTAGCCTGATTATCACAGAAATGATTCAGACTCATGATTTTTCGGATGAAACATAATGTATTTCATCAGCTCATTGAATTCTTTTCATTAAATCCTCAAATATACTCCCTAATCACTGAAACAATGAATTGTGATAGTAATTTATAGATTTTTCTAAGAAAAAAGTACCAATTGAAGGCATTTTTCCTTCATGCTCCCATGAAACAGCGTGAATTTTGTAACGAACAGCTCCTTTTTGATTTTGTGTCGACTGAGCATCATTTCAAAATCCTGCTTTCGTGAAGATGTTGAAGAAGGACGGCAACAAGGATAATTTCAATACATTTTTTCGCCGCTTGAAATATTATTCCGAATCTAATCACAACGAAAGAAAGTTCATGCTATTATCAACAAAACCACCAGGAAGACATTTGAGTAAAGAACAAAAGAACTATATTTCATGAAAATATGAAGAAGTACCATTTATCTCGCAAACCAAGCAAGTAAGGATACATGTTGAAATTATTGTAAACGTCATTTCGCAAAATATCACGGGCGATCACCTTCTGATGTTCGTTGCATTTATTACACCTTGTATGATATCAAAAATCACTTTTTGTTAAATGACTCCGCCATTACTCGATGGAAATCTATGGTGAATGTGAAAATCTCCACAAACAATAGGATTTCCACAGAATTCCCGATAACACGACATGTTTTGCTAACACAATAGCCCCTACAAGAGAGATAACGAACTTTGAGTACCACTTATTGGAAATAAAAAGCTCACTTACCAAAAACTTCAGGAATTTTACAGAGAAAAAAATGTTACAGTCACAATAAATGAACTGTTTGATTGCAGTTAGTGTATCACAAGTGGTTGACTACTCATAAAGACAAAATATATACTGTGTATTTCTCAAGAATCGACCAGTCTGATATTTCTAAATGAAATATTGTGCGAAGTTTAGGTTTGTTTGTTTAATTCATATTCATTCACTCATGTCGAGTTCCTAGATGCTATTATTCTCATATTTTTGTGCCGTTTCAATACACAGATGAACAATTAAATAGCAACAATGAGAATGTAATCAAACATGAGTCCACTTTCTCCTTGGTGTGAGGCATCATAGGATTGAATGAAAATTGAGAAGTTGGTTATAACGCCGGAACAAGTGATCATTCACCAAATTTGAAATAACAATCCATCAAAGTTATTTTGCATAGTTCAATATATCAACGAAGAACTTCATCCTATGGTTGCAATCAATATGTATCATCCTGTATAAAATCA